AAAAAAAAAAAAAAAAAAAAAAAAAGACACGATCCAGTTACTCTACAACGTACTCTACACACGTGATAGTGTACAGACGCAGCGATTTATGCTATCGCACGGCTGTATACTCGGGCTCGTAACGCTTTCACAATCGAGTTCATTAGATGGTACATAACGTAGCCGGGGATTGGTGATTTTACAGCGAGTACAAATCATCGCCGAACCCGATGAAGGAGAATTATTTATTGAGCGTGTTCCTGGGCGACATCATAGGAAGCCCGCGACTCTGTCATCAGCTGGCAAAACGAGGGAGAGGCTGCGACGAGGCCACGCTCTCGGATTAACTGTAAACCGTAACCATTTACGAGGCCCTGTACAGATTGTAAATATCGTCGAGAGTGTGTTCGCCGGTTTCCATCCACGAGAGGATCGTTCATCTTTGCTACACAGCAGTCCTGCGTTCCGTGAAATGCGAGCATGAGGTCTTGCAAAGGAAACTGACGACTTTTGGATACGTACGTGAATTAAATGTTACCGCTTCGTTACCTCGAGTTTCTTTCAACATACGGTTAATTGTTGTACTTCATTCTCACCAAATATAATAAACAGAGTTTATATATAATATTCGGCCGATTAACGTTTTCTTCTTTCTCTCTTTGGATTACTTTCTTTGTGGAGAATATTTTTGAACGGAGGGAATAATTGCTTGCAGTGAACTTTGTTGCAAGATGTAAATTAGAATCTGTGGTCAATTTTCCAATTAATTTGAAATTTCTGTTATAGATAGATTTTTAGCGATGAGTATGTTTTCTTGCAACACGCAACGATTCTGAAGATTAATTGCACATATCTGTGTCCTAAATAATATACGCGAAATAATTATGCGAATAAATTACACGAGGATCTGAACGCTGGAATTGCCGGAGACATGAAAAATTTTATTACCTTCCCAAGGTGCGCCTTTTGATTTATTTACTATAAATTTCTTATTGCAGTATCGGTATTCCCAGCGTTGAACATTCATGCACAATACAGAATGACGATTTTCGAAGTTTAATTTCAAGGGAACGTTAGAAAGATAAAAAAAAAAAGAAAAAATGTTTATTCTTGCCAGAGCGAATAACGAATAAATGTCATTTAAATTAATTCTCTGTGTTAATCAATGAATAAAATCACTTACGAAAACAAACACACTGGTTATTTCGTCTGCTTGAACTACGACGAAGCGTAGCGCGTACTCGCGGCACGGGCGCGAAAAACGGTCACACGAAGTGAGAGTAGATGACGTTCCTTCCTACCTACGCCTCTTCGGCCGAGCTTGTGTACGAGGAACGCTTTCGAAGAAAGTTCCAGTTGCCGTGGAACTGTGACACGATCATCCGCGAGGCGAAACACTGCCGTATTCCAGCAGCAATCGCGACAAAGTGCCATTTCGACGTAGGAATTATCGTCGTCGACCGTTTTAGCCGTCTCGCGAGTGAAACTCTTGCGATTCGGTCGACGTGAAAGTTGAAAAAAAAAAAAAGAAAAAAAAAAAAACATACATATATAACGGGCGATGGTGATTCTGAAAAACGTCAGCGAAGAAATTTCTTCGAAATTTGATCGATCTTAAATATCAAATGCAAACGAGAGAAATGAAAAATCGTGGAATGACGTTCGAATTTATTTTCCTTTGCGCTCTTCTGTGTCCTCATTTCTGCGTTCGCGCGGACCATCAGTTTCGAAGGATTCGTCGTGAAGTCGAGCGAGGCGATTCCTGCGATTTCGACGAAACTCGAAGCGATTACAACGCCACGGATTTATTGAGGTAAGTACCATTCGTGTGTGCAGTGCGAATACGAAGAAATACGTGCTGGAGCTCGATTCGAGTGGAAAAAACATGGTTCGTCGCCGTAGGTGCATCGATGAATTGGTTGTCGATCTCGTCGATCGAGAAAGTGACGGGCTGACGAGCGAGAAAGGTCAATCGAATGGATCCACGGGCAGGCAAATCTCTTTTGTGGACGTTCTCTCGAGTATTTTTAACAATGCTGTCACGGTACGTTTGAAATTAAATTTATTCGTTCGTCAGACTTTATTCAGAGTTTTTGTCAGAAAAGAAGAAGAGAGGAAAGAAAGATCGTTGTTATTGAGTTTTTTATAATTCACGGATCATTTCGTTACAAAATCGCGTGAAAACATCGTGAATGCCATTAGGCGGTGATTTATTGGTTGCAACTTTCCTAAATTAATAACACACCTCGTGAAACTTAATATTCTAGCTTACATTGCCATACGAGAAACTCCTCGTAAAGAGTTTTAACGTATTAACGGTTATTATGAAAGCATTATGTGAGGTACAACTCTACGTATCGTGAAAAGCTTTCAAATTAGACAAAGTTTTTTTTAAAAACATCGAGATATTTCGTGTGTGAGAATCTAATTAGAGTTTTAATCTAATTCTAATTTTTCATATATTTCAAACAACTACGATACTCTGTATTTTATATTTAAAAAACGTTTTTGAACACTTTCGAATACTTATATTTGACTGAAAACTTTTCGCTAATAGTAGTAGAAGTATTATTAAAATGAATTTCAACTACGTTCTTTAAACGTTTCGCTGACAATTTCAAAAGGGACAAGGACGAATAAAATGAAGCGAAATTCGACTTTATATTTCTAGTTTGTTTTTCCAAATTTTACTACCCTCAAATACAACTTTCATTCTCAAGAATAAAAGCCTTTTATTATGAAAAGCCTTTCAGGATAACTAAAAATAAAAAATAAAGACTGAAACAAAATTTTTTAAGACTAACTAATAATTTTTAAATCTCATAAAAATATTATATCGTGGTGAAAGAAGCAATCTTATTACAGTAGAATTCCGTTTACATGAACTCCATTTTATTCGGTAACGTCCATTTGTTATTTTAATCAGTCCCTGGTCAAATAAACTTTAATCCACTTGTTTATGAACGAAATTTATCATCGAAATTTATTTGTAGACTCTTGTTACATAAACTTCAATCGTACAAATTACTAACAAATTTATATAAACTGA